CTTGCAACGTTTTGGCTTGGCCAGCGCTGTCCATGTCCGGCATGGATGTGCAGCCACCGCCGGGCAGGCGTCCTCCTGTGTGACCCCCGTCGGCGTCCCGATGGGGCTGACAGCACCCACGCAGATATCCGCGTTACAGGGGTAAGAGCCAAATTCCCCTCCCTCCCCCTTTCCCCCACAGCAATCAATCACTCTTCATATACACCAAGATGGGCCATTACCCAGGTAGAGCGCACCGTGTGCTCCGCTCACGTTAATACGGGAATTCAGGAGGTGTAAGCCTTTGCATTGGGGAAGGTGGATATGGATACCCTTAGGGAGATGCTTTTCTTCCCCAGAGGGACTGTTTTGCCCCTGGGGGGGCAGCGGGGGAGAAGCAGGCAGAGGAACCCAAGGAACGATGCTCTAGACCTCCACCCAAAGCAGGTTTGGACCCTGAGTTTGGGTGGAGGATGAGGATGGTAACAAGCTGCCTGCGGCCCTCTCACCAGCAAGGAGAGTGGGCAGCAACTGGAGGAGGAAAAGAGCCAGGCAAGGAGGTGGCCTGGGATGGAGGCCAAGTACTTCACACCTCCTAAGCCAAGAGGGGCTGACCTGGAGCCACCTGGAGTAAGGACGTACTGGGGGTCACGGGGAGCAGCGACAGCCTCCTCACCTCTACCCGCCCCTTTCCACTCTTCTCCTGCTCCTGGAATCCCCCACCTGAATTTTAGCAGCTCCTAGTGTCTTTAATGCTTTTGATTTTTACTTTTTTTTAGCCACCTCTTCCCCACTGAGGGACGGAAGGAACACGCTCTCCCACCCTGGTCCGTGGGAGGGGACAGATCCTGCAGTTCCCCAGTCTTCCTTCTCTATTCAGGGCAAAACCACTTTGCAGCTGGAGGTCAGATTTGGGTTAATTTAGCTTAATTCAGCCTCTGCTGGTGTTTACAGCTCTGCAGGACGTTAATCCAGGTGCTCACAGGCCCGGCGCCCCGGGTGTCACGCTGCCGCTGCAAAGAGGTGCTGGCAGAAGAGGTGGAAGATGGAGGGCTTGGATCATCCAAGGTCCATCCTGGCCTCCTTAGGAGATGACTGCATGTCCGGGGCAAGTGTCCAACATCCCATTAGCGAGCGGGAGGCCGAGGGAGGGGAGGATTTCTTGGGCAGGCATCAGATCCCTTGCTCAGCAGGCTTTTAGGGGAGCCGCTGGGTGGAGGGTATTAATTAGGTGAGACAGGCTACGACGCACGTGCAGTAGCAGCGAGCCTGCAGCCCGAGTGCGGTGTCCGTGGAAAACCACGGTGTATTTTTAGCCTGAAGGACAGAGCCGGCGGCCCCGTCTCTGACATCCCACATCAGCTCAGCGACGGCGCTGTTGCAACTCTGGGCACCAGTTTAATGTGAGTCAGGAGAATGAGTTCAATTCAACAGAAATTGGATGTTTGCGATTCACAGAAGGAACGGGACAGCTCTTTGGCCACAGCAATCCCTTTTCCTTTGAAACCAAGGCTGCTTATTAAACGTCAGCGAGGTCAAAATGCCCTGTGCTGTGAATGCCACCTTCCCTTTCTGAAGAGCCTCTGCAATGCAAAAGCCACAGAGCTCCCTTCCCGGTTTTTATGAGTAGACCTCAGGCATGAATGCATTTTTCAAAGGCAAAGATAAACCCCAGCTTCCTTTCACTTTTCAATTAGGCTACCGGGTGTCTTCTCTCTGCTCTAAAACTGCAGTGTTTTTCCCAAAATACATTCAAGCTGTCACTGACTGTGGCGCTCTCAGCTTCCAGCTGGTCGGACTTCAGCGAGGAAACAGGCTGCTGGGCACTGCCTGCACATCCAAAAAAAAACCAAACCCCAAAAGCCCCAAATCCCACCAGATTCCCTGGTCTGGGATGCCTCCGCGTGAGCGTGACCCTTGCAAGCGGGACATTTCTGTGCACATCTGCTGGCGCAGCACCCACCCATGGAGCAAAGCCCTCGTGGCTTGGCCCCACGCTGTGGTTTTTTGCTGCCTGGGAGGAGGAGGAAATTCATTCCCCTGGGATCGAGCTGGGAAGCAAACTGCGGAGCGATGGGCACGAATCCTGCCCACTCGCTGTGGGCGGGGAGGCAAAAGGTGCTGGCTCTGCCATCGGAGATGCTGGAGCCATCGGAGATGCTCGAGCCCTGCCGACGGTGCTGCGCTCCCGCCGCAGGGGATTTTAAAGTCGCTCAGAGCGGGCGATTTGGCAGCTGGCACCGGTAGGTGCAATAGCTCGGGCTGGTGGCTCAGCGCTACCCCGCCTGGCTGCCGCAGCATCATGCCAAGGGAAACCAAATTAATGGGGGAAACATAGAATCATGGAATCGTTTGGCTTGGAAAAGCCCTTTAAGCTCCCCCAGCCCAACTGTTCCCCTACCCCTGCCATCCCACCCCCAAACCCTGGCCCTCAGCACCGCCTCTGCCCGGCTGTTAAATCCCCCCAGGGCTGGGGGACTCGACCACATCTTGCAAAATGCCCTCACACTGGGATTTTTCAGGGTGATTCCTTCCAGGACTTGGTTTCCTGGTGCACGTCTGCCAGTGAATGAGCTCTTGTGTTTTTGCAATGGGGTTTTATCCATCACCATCACTTCCAGCCTTGGGGAGGAGGGGG